TTCCCCCGACGGAGCAGGAAATGAGAACAGGAATATAACAGGAACAGGAAAATAAAAAGAACAGGAAGCAGCAGATCACTGGGGCTCAGAATATGATCCTTCTGCTCAGACCGTACAGGATTCTCCGCTAATTGAATCAAAGCTTCGATGTTTGCATTTATGCATTTAGCAGATGGAGGAAGATCATTTAGATTTTATCATCTTAATTCAAGTGAATATTATCTGATTATCTTATTTCAAGAGTGAAAAAACTAATTTAATTTGCAAATCATCTTGTATACCAGCTCAAATTACGGGTAATTTTAAGAAATGTACCAATTTCTAGACTTAGACAAACTTAATTGTCATTTTTAATGTACGTAATTTATACAAAAGGAAATTTCTAGATTGTTTCTGCAGTGCACCTAAACAGTCAAAGGAGAAAAGGGCTCCATTACAGCGCCCTCTAGTGGAAACTATACTTGATGGAAAATGTGGAACTTTGGACCATTTCTGCTACTTCCTTTCACCTCCACCTCTCAGCTTCCTCCTTTCTTTACTCCTCATCCTGCGTCTTATTCCAGCCTCCCGTTTCCAGCCCTCCTTCCTGATCTCACACACACACGCTCATTAAACTGAGCAAACTGCTTTAGCTTCTGCTCTACGAGCGGAGCGGCTCTGCAGCAGCGATCCATCATCTTTACTCCCTAACTAACTTACAAAGCAACACAAACTTGCAGGGATCCATGTGGGGACCTGCACACACAATTAGGAACAAACTGGACTTTTTTAAAAGCAGTCAGCGAAGGGAAGCAGCGCTAACACGCCCACATGTGTCAGATTAATCCACGGCGTACGCCCACGCAGGAGCAGAAACACGCAGATAAAAAGGCGGCTGCGGCTCGGAGTCGGCATGCAGAGCTGGACGCTGGAACACGCTGAAGGTTAGGATTCATTGTGACCTTGAAAACAGATCGGTGGAGAGAAACGCCCCCGAGATTCAAAAAAAACCAAACTGCAGATGCACAGGAGAAATATGAAGGTCACCGCTGGCCTCCATCGACTTCAGCTGCACCACGGCTTAGGGGCTGCTTCAGGTGGATCCAGACACGTCCTCTCTAGTCCCAGTGCTGGGCGGAAGTAGAGGAGCAGCAGAGAAAAGAGGAAGTAGAGGAGCGGCAGAGAAGCGCGGAAGTAGAGGAGCGGCAGAGAGGCGAGGAAGTAGAGGAGCGGCAGAGAAGCGCGGAAGTAGAGGAGCGGCAGAGAAATGCGGAAGTAGAGGAGCGGCAGAGAGGCGAGGAAGTAGAGGAGGGGCAGAGCGGCGAGGAAGTAGAGGAGCGGCAGAGAAACGCGGAAGTAGAGGAGCGGCAGAAAAGCGCGGAAGTAGAGGAGCGGCAGAGAGGCGCGGAAGTAGAGGAGCGGCAGAGAAGCGCGGAAGTAGAGGAGCGGCAGAGAGACGCGGAAGTAGAGGAGCGGCAGAGAGACGCGGAAGTAGAGGAGCGGCAGAGAGACGCGGAAGTAGAGGAGCGGCAGAGAGACGCGGAAGTAGAGGAGCGGCAGAGAGACGCGGAAGTAGAGGAGCGGCAGAGAAACGCGGAAGTAGAGGAGCGGCAGAGCGGCGAGGAAGTAGAGGAGCGGCAGAGAAGCGCGGAAGTAGAGGAGCGGCAGAGAGACGAGGAAGTAGGGGAGCGGCACAGAAACGCGGAAGTAGAGGAGCGGCAGAGAAAAGAGGAAGTAGAGGAGCAGCAGAGAAGCGCGGAAGTAGAGGAGCGGCAGAGAGGCGAGGAAGTAGAGGAGCGACAGAGAAGCGCAGAAGTAGAGGAGCGGCAGAGCGGCGAGGAAGTAGAGGAGCGGCAGAGAAACGCGGAAGTAGAGGAGCGGCAGAGAAACGCGGAAGTAGAGGAGCGGCAGAGAGGCGAGGAAGTAGAGGAGGGGCAGAGAAGCGCGGAAGTAGAGGAGCGGCAGAGCGGCGAGGAAGTAGAGGAGCGGCAGAGAGACGAAGAAGTAGAGGAGCGGCAGAGCGGCGAGGAAGTAGAGGAGCGGCAGAGAGACGAAGAAGTAGAGGAGCGGCAGAGAAGCGCGGAAGTAGAGGAGCGGCAGAGAGACGAGGAAGTAGGGGAGCGGCAGAGAAACGCGGAAGTAGAGGAGCGGCAGAGAAACGCGGAAGTAGAGGAGCGGCAGAGCGGCGAGGAAGTAGAGGAGCGGCAGAGAAGCGCGGAAGTAGAGGAGCGGCAGAGAGACGAGGAAGTAGGGGAGCGGCACAGAAACGCGGAAGTAGAGGAGCGGCAGAGAAAAGAGGAAGTAGAGGAGCAGCAGAGAAGCGCGGAAGTAGAGGAGCGGCAGAGAGGCGAGGAAGTAGAGGAGCGGCAGAGAAGCGCGGAAGTAGAGGAGCGGCAGAGCGGCGAGGAAGTAGAGGAGCGGCAGAGAAACGCGGAAGTAGAGGAGCGGCAGAGAGGCGAGGAAGTAGAGGAGGGGCAGAGCGGCGAGGAAGTAGAGGAGCGGCAGAGAAACGCGGAAGTAGAGGAGCGGCAGAGAGGCGCGGAAGTAGAGGAGCGGCAGAGAAACGCGGAAGTAGAGGAGCGGCAGAGAGACGCGGAAGTAGAGGAGCGGCAGAGAGACGCGGAAGTAGAGGAGCGGCAGAGAGACGCGGAAGTAGAGGAGCGGCAGAGAGACGCGGAAGTAGAGGAGCGGCAGAGAGACGCGGAAGTAGAGGAGCGGCAGAGAGACGCGGAAGTAGAGGAGCGGCAGAGAGACGCGGAAGTAGAGGAGCGGCAGAGAGACGCGGAAGTAGAGGAGCGGCAGAGAAACGCGGAAGTAGAGGAGCGGCAGAGAAACGCGGAAGTAGAGGAGCGGCAGAGAGACGCGGAAGTAGAGGAGCGGCAGAGCGGCGAGGAAGTAGAGGAGCGGCAGAGCGGCGAGGAAGTAGAGGAGCGGCAGAGCGGCGAGGAAGTAGAGGAGCGGCAGAGCGGCGAGGAAGTAGAGGAGCGGCAGAGAAACGCGGAAGTAGAGGAGCGGCAGAGAAGCGCGGAAGTAGAGGAGCGGCAGAGCGGCGAGGAAGTAGAGGAGCGGCAGAGAAGCGCGGAAGTAGAGGAGAGGCAGAGAAGCGCGGAAGTAGAGGAGCGGCAGAGAGACGAAGAAGTAGAGGAGCGGCAGAGAAGCGCGGAAGTAGAGGAGCGGCAGAGAGACGAGGAAGTAGGGGAGCGGCAGAGAAACGCGGAAGTAGAGGAGCGGCAGAGAAGCGCGGAAGTAGAGGAGCGGCAGAGAGACGAGGAAGTAGGGGAGCGGCACAGAAACGCGGAAGTAGAGGAGCGGCAGAGAAGCGCGGAAGTAGAGGAGCGGCAGAGAAGCGCGGAAGTAGAGGAGCGGCAGAGAAGCGCGGAAGTAGAGGAGCGGCAGAGAAGCGCGGAAGTAGAGGAGCGGCAGAGAAGCGCGGAAGTAGAGGAGCGGCAGAGAAACGCGGAAGTAGAGGAGCGGCAGAGAAGCGCGGAAGTAGAGGAGCGGCAGAGAAACGCGGAAGTAGAAATGCTCGACCTCATTCACGGTTCAGACAGTTTTCTATCGTTTACTCAGCAGAGATCTTCTCCCTCCAGGGACCAAACCTGAAGCCACAGATCAACAACCAGAGCGTATAGATTTTTCCAGCAGGCTGTAGTATCCTGATGAGGCTATATCAGGGAGGCTGGACGTAAACACAATAATCTCTGAGGTCCTCATGTTTCAGAGCGTCTAGAGGCAGAACTGCTCTGTTCCTGACAGACTAGTTTAAAACCCGATAATTGGTCAGATTAGATAAATACTCTGATCATGGAGGACATGTTAACGCAGCCAGAGGGGAGAACATCGAGACACAGTAGAAAATGGCCTGAACTGATTTACACTACATTCAGTCAGTCACAAACACACTGATGGCGGCAAACTACACGGTAGCCAAAGCTGCCCTGGAACTCACTGACAGAAGCGAGGCTACTGTACACTGATGCCACCGTGCCCTCTGACCGCCATCAGGGGTTCGGAGCGACTCAGACCCACTGAGGGGCTGAAGATGGCCTTTTAAAATGAGTATTTTAGCTCTTAGAGCCCGGTCTGCTTCTCTGACAGAACCTTCAGCCCACTGAGGGTCTCTGATGATGATGATGGTGGTGGACATATGAAGGTTTCTGCTCCCTGTGATGCTAAAACTCACAGAAAATGGTGGCAAGAAAAACTAGAAGAATTTTGTCTATTTTAATAAATCTGACCAGATTTAAGGCCATTTGGTTCTGTCAGAATCTCAGGAGGAGCCCCAACTAGAACCCGTCTGAAGACCCGCTTTAATGCTAGAACCACAGGAGGAACAATCACTCCGCGCCGGAAGGTTCAGATCATCGATCAGAACCGGAAGAGAATCTAAAAATGGAGAAAAACAGAAAAACGTTCGGTAGGTTCTGCCCGTATCTTTTTGGGCCACCTCCTGCCGGTCCGTTTAAAGTTGGGCCGTTACCATGACGACACTGAGGCTAAATGTCAGTATGTAAATCTGATGCTTAGAGCGGCCTTCTTCAAGCGGAGCGGCATCTGACGGAGGGGACGGAACCGCAAAGGTCAAACGCTTCGACGTGAGGAAATTATTTTAATCAGCAAACGCCGACAGAGACCCAATTGGACCCGGGATCCACCCAACCTGAGACGGTTGGAGACGTTCCAGTCATTTCCTGCTGAGTCATTAAAAGAGAAAAACTCCCATCAGAACCCAGAACCCTGCAGCTGAGCCGGTTCTGCTCTCTGACTCCTTTCTGTTCCGATTCTCCTCCTCAGGGATTGGCTGAGAGTCTGTTGGTCGGTATGGGAACAAAGTGAGCGACAGCGGGGTCATTAGGCTGCAGTAATGAGGCGGACAGGTGGTCAGTCAGAGCGCAGGTGTTCATCTGCATTCATGTCTGCTTTTCCCTGCAGGGAGAGTCCGGCTCCCGTCTGAACCCGACCCGATTTGGATCCGGTTCGGGTCAGAACCGCTGGGATGTGTGTTCATGCTCGTGTCCCACCTGTCTCTGGATCAGCGCCAGCGTCTGCTGCCCCTCCTCCATCAGCTTCCGCACCGCTTCCGGGTCCTCCACTTTTCTGTTGGCCCTGAAGGCGTCGCGAACGCGCCGCACTGCGTACGTCCTGCAACACAAACACAGCCTCCATTCAGCGCATTCAGAAAAAAAAAAAAACAAAGCAGCAGAAATAAAAAAAAATGAAAACCTCTGAGGAGTTTAGGAGAGCAAACAGCCGATCGGAGGTGAAAACAACTCCAGACAAAACCAACAGGAAGATAAATTAGTGCAGATGAGAGAAAAACAAACCTCAGGGCAGAACAGCAAAAAAAAAAATAGCAACTGGTTTTTCATTTGTTTTTCTGCTGCTTGCTTATAAAGCAACCTGCAGCAGAGATGCATCATGATGCTGAGTGAGGCTCAGCGGGGGGTTGGCCCTCTGCAACGCATCAAGGCGAGCGTTTAAAGCACGAACGCGCAGGTAGAAACACCTTCAAGGCAATAAGATCACACTCATTCACCGCCACTTCCTGCTCAGAAACACGCCATCCTGACACCAAAAGATAACGGCGAGAATAAATAAACTCAGGAACGGACCAGATGAAGCTACTATGAGACAAAGCAGAGAGAGCAGAACGTTAGAGATTGAACTAACAGATTCTGCAGAGTGGGAGAATAGAGATAGAATGAAGCAGAATGATGGAAAAAGGGGTCCCTATGTCCTCCAGCAGTCTAAGCCTATAGCAGCAGAACTATAGATACAGGGGTAGACGTTAAGGATTTTACCCCTTGCCCTTTGGGTAAGTGACTTTCTACGGAAGAGGATTAGGGCCACTGAAAAAAAAAAAAGGTAACTGATTTTTTATTTTATTTCAGTATAGTATGGGGAAAAAAGTCAGAATTCTGACTTTTTTCTCAGAATTCTGACTTTTTTTATTGTGACTTTTTTCCCCATACTATAATGAAATAAAAAAAAAAAATCAGTTACCTTTCTTTTTTTTCAGTGGCCCTAATCCTCTTCCGTAACTTTCACATTTCATTTGCCCAGAAACAATTTTTACTTGCCCAGTATAATGTTTGATAAATATAGTTCCTAATATTCATTTTTGTATATATATCAATGAAACATGTTTGTTTTTTGTAATTCAGTATTTTTTAAGTTTCCAGGTTCCTGGTGTGTATCTGCATGCGTCAGATAATGAACTCAAGCCTACATTACCGTGTTAACATGCTTTTCAATCCTTCCTGCTCATTCTTTTCAAACTAAACTTTGCTTTAAACTGTTGTGTGCTTGGAAAAATATAAATAGTAATGTTAAAAGTCTAAAAAAAAAAAAAAAAAAAAACTTGACAGGTTTAAAACTTAAGATAAATCACAAGATAGAAAGAAATAACTTATTTTAGAGTCACGGTATGTTCATACAAGATAATACTATTAATATAATGTGACTTTTCTAGAGAATCATTATACATAGTTATTTTATACAGGGTTTCCACAGTTTGACATCATTTCAGAATTCTCTGACTTTTAACTGACTCAGGATTAAGCAGCAACAAGACAATAATAATAACATAATAGGTCACCAATCTAACATGTTTAGCTCTATAACATTTAAATGCACCACTCCAATGTCTAAGAGAAAGAGATTTAATGAAAATTTTTTTATGTATGACCTGCATCACTGTACAGAAGACTGCCATATGATAGCGCTTTCTAGCTAGGTGGACAAAAATCACGCCGTCTGGCGGAAAATCTCGCGGCTTTTTCAAATCACGCGAGAATGTGTACAACAAAAATGGCGCCGGCTGGGTTGTTTTAAGCTAATGTCTGTGATTTTGAAGTACTTTTGAGTGATAAATCATTTTTTTTGCAATCACTGCACTTGCCCGGTAGCCTGGTGAGACCATCCTGATCTCGCGAGCTTTCAAGGTTTCACTCGCAGATCAGTCTGGAGACTCTCCGTTAAAGAAAATTTGGAGCCGTTCACCAAACGAACGTCCAATCAGCGTTGGCTTTGAGGCGGGTTGAGGTGTGACGCAACGAGAAGCGCGACAGTTCAGTCTAAAGAACATGGCGGCTTCAGCCGATGAAACTAGCGTTAGCGTGGCTATCGAGCAAGTTTTATGGGAATTACAGAGTATTTCTTCACTGAAAGAAGAGCAAAACACTGCTCTGGAGGCTTTTCTCAGAGGAAAAGATGTTTTTGCTCTTCTCCCCACTGGTTTCGGCAAATCCATCTGGCGGAGTCAGATTAGTTGCCCGGTTGGCAAATGCAATGAAATTTGTACTCTCCTGACAATAAAAAGTACCTGCAATCGGACGATGGTTAACATCGAGCCCTGAGATAGCTCAGGATAACCTGAGCCACTCTAACTAGAAGCTTTATCAAAAAGGAAAGTTTTAAGCCTAGCCTTAAAAGTAGACAGGGTGTCTGCCTCACGGACTAAAACTGGTAGTTGGTTCCACAGGAGAGGAGCCTGAGAACTAAAAGATCTGCCTCCCATTCTACTTTTAGAAATTCTAGGAACCACTAGTAAACCTGCAGATTGGGAGCAAAGTGCTCTGTTAGGAACAGAAGGAACAATCAGCATTTTGGATCAGCTGAAGGCTTTTAACTACAGTTTGTGGACTTCCTGATAGTTAATTCACCAAATAAAGCATTTGGGCAGATTAAAATCAGTTCTGTCTGACAGGAAGAAACGAAGAAGTAGTGATGAATCAGAAGTTTGTGACAGAACTGTACAGCAAAATAATAGATGTTGTTATATTTGTGTTTATTAATAAGCAGCAGCGTCGTCTTCTTCTTTACCCGTCAGCTCATTGAGGAGAAGCCGACAGCCAGAGGCTTCAAACCGAGTGAATGATTGGACTCTGTGTGCGTCTGAGAGTGAGTGAGTGAGTGAGTCATCCCATCACAGGAACTTCAGAGGGAATTCTCTCCTGTGATCTTCAGATGATGAGACATGAAGGAGAGAGGAGAAGGAGCCGATGTGAGCGGGGCTGAGGAGAGGAGGCGAGGAAACCAGGAAACCCGTGAATCTGGGTTTCTTTCCATCATCACTTATTCATCAGAGGCCTTTTGTCGTGCTGTTGATACGGCGACAGCTTTCGGCGCACCCACGCTGCGCTGAGGATGATGCCGCGTTTGACTGGAGCCGCCGGGGAGCCACGCTTTAAGGAGGGCAGAGACGCTGAGGAGACGAGTTCGGCTCCGACAGACTAACATCTAATCAGCCTTAATGTTTCATTAGAGAATAACTGACCTAATTCATTTACTCCTCTCAGTGAGGTCACGCCCACCTGGGGGGGGGGGGGGGGGGGGGGGGTGGTCCGTCCAACATGACGCAGACTAAATGATCCCAGAAACCAACCGACTTTCCAACACATCACAGGAACTCGCTTTGAGGCGACCAATGAGGTAATCCTCTGACTTAAGGTTGTTTCATCTGAATAAAGGGCTTCAATCACACAGTAGGAGATCTAACTGCTACGTTTCTATTCCTCCATTAAAATCAGAGTTGAGTTTCTTCCAGAAGAAAATCAAGTAATGGATCATATTTCAGAGAACTGGGATAGTTTCATTGAGAAGTCGACTCTCTATATCCACCAGGCGAGAGAATAAACACAGCGACACAGAACTTATAGTGGATGTAATGCGCATCTAGATGAATGAATATCGGTCATAAAACCTGCAAATAAAAAATGCATTGAACCACAGCTTTGTGTTCAAACTACCCTAGTTTATAGAATACTGAGTCGCACCTGAAGGTCTGATTTTTCTGTATCCGTCGCACCTGTATACTACAAAAAAATCGAAATCTTGATAAGTCATTTTTTCTTAAAATAAGTGCATTTGTTCTTGAATTGAGGAGATAAAAGAGACATTTTGCCAACGGAACAAGAAAATTTAGATTTAAAATAAGAAAACGCAATTGCATTGTCTTATATCAAGTGAATATTATCTAATTATCTTATTCTAAGTGTAAAAATACTGATTCCATTGGCAAACTATCTCATTTACCTGCTCAAATCAAGGGTAAATACACTTAATTTAAGACATTTTTACTTATTTCTAGATCGTTTTTTCAGTGAGTTCAGAACCAAGAGTTGATTTTTTCAATCGTTACTCGCAGCTACAGCTCGCACTGTACGACGAAACCGCAGGGTTTAAAAGTTCACAGCTCACCATGTTTGTTCTCACACTGCGACCCGACGCTCTGATGCGATCTTTCTGCTCGCACTGTACGTCTAAAAAGCAGGTGGGACTCAGCTCCGCAGTGAGATGGCGCTAGTCTGACTCGTCTATCTGGAAGCCAAACCAGTAGAAGAGGAACATGAAGCTCACTAGAGTGAAACGCGCTGCCTTGGATATTTGGGCAACGACGTAACGTAGCTAATATTGTGCCACTATTGTGAGCGATTTCCCCACGACGGTCAACTGAAAATTAAACATTTGATTTTCTTCTGACCTGACGATTCCTGATGGGGAGGTGGTCGATAGAGAAAATTCTCGCACAACTGGAAAGTTGACCTGTGATCACAAACTGTACACACAGCCGTTTCAGGTGCTTTAAGGTGTTATCATCCCTTTAAAAATGGCCGTTATTAGCGGTTATCAGTCCCATAGAACGGTTTCCGATTGTGCCTCCTACCTCCTAGGAGGCTCAGTAGGTTTTATAACGGCAGAATTAATTCATGTATTCATGTGTATTCTGAACATAATTTCAATAATTACTCATCTATAAAAAAAAGGAAGTTAATCGGCTCATGTCGAACAACTCCTCCCAAAAAAATCTCATAATATCCTGTAAACTGAGCTGTTTTTAAACACCCCATTAAATCCGTGCGACTGAAATATGGAATTCACTTAAAGTAAAGCTTTAAAACACAGTTTGTTCTTTAAAGACGTTCGGTTGTAAATACAGTAGATCAAAAGCTTAAAGGATGTTAACAGAAAGTGAAACTGAAGGTTTTAGACGTGGCTGTTATCGACCATTAGCTGCATATTATCAGCCATAGAAACTCCTAGAAGGCCGAGGAGGAGCAGAGGCTGGAGTCGTTCTCTGGGACTGATAACCGCTAATAACGGCCATTAAATGGTTGATCGCATCGTTCACATGCTGCGCT